CCCCCCCCCCCCCAAGTGTGGAGGCTCCTGGTGGTCATCCTTATAGGACTGTTGTGAGAAATTAAAAAGCTCAAGACAGTATCATGTTTCACATTTGAAAAGAGCAGCCAAAGCCATAAATCAGAATATTGTTCCCCTCCAGGGTGCCAACATGTGAACAAAGAATGACTCAAGGTCACCCAGAGAGGCTGCAGTGGAGCCAAACCTTTTAAAATTCTTCCCCGGTTCATGTCACAGCCAACTCTGCCTTCATCATAAACACAGTCTGAGCAGCCCCGGAGGAAAGAGGGGCTGGCTGTGTCACCAGACAGTGTGTCCTTATAATAAATCATCCATCACTATAGCTTTAGTTGGGAGCAAGTGAAGGGCCCAGAGGAGAAGATGCATTACAGTCACTCAACGGAGCTGGTAGACTGGGCAGTTTGGACCAAAAACGGCTAGGGAATGGGAACAGTTGGACTGCCTTGTCAGATCCAGAGATAAAGTGAGGTCAGAGGGCAGATTGAATTTCAAAGTGGAAGCTGCAAAATCCCTGAGGCTTATACATTTTGGAGACTAGGCTCTCCCTACCTCTGCAAAAACTATTTGGCATTTTAGGACAAGGGTGAGGAAGTGTTTCAATATGGAGGCAGGGGTTCAGCTATGAGGAGCCCATTGGGCCTCCCAAATAAGAATTCAGCCCTCCTGAATGAAAATTCTTCAGTTCCCAAATTTCTAGCACTACAATAAATGTCTGTAGCCTAGGCAGTTTTGTGTCCTCAGGCTCTGAACTGATTGTCAGCCCAGGCTGATCTTTGGATTCTCTTGGACAAGAAGGGCTTGAAAAAGACTTTTTTTCCAGTTATACTATAGCACAGGGGTAGGCAACCTTTTTGAGCCAGGGGCCGGGCTGCTGTCCCTCAGACAATTGGGGGGCCGAAGCACCAAAAATAAATAAATAAATAAATAAATAAATAAATAAATAAATAAATAACAATTGTTTTTTAAAAAATAAAAAAAATAAATAATATATGCATGCACACTCTCTCAGCCCCAGAAAAGCCATGGCAAAACCCCTGTGGAGATTTTGCCAAGAAAACCCCAAGAACAAGTAATAACAACAATAATCAACATCATCATGGCGGGCGGCGGTGGCTGGACCAGCCTGGGGCTGATCCAAAGGCCTCGGGGGGCTGCATCCGGCCCCCGGGCCTTAGGTTGCCTACCCCTGCACAACAAAGTCTTCCTAAGGTCTGGTGTGTTTCCATATCTTTTGGCCCTGGCCCCTGATTTGTTCCATAATCTTGACTTCTTTTTTAATGTTCAGTAATGTAAAACTTCACTTGAGCATTTAGAGATACAGTTTAGACATCCAAAGAAAAAAGTGGACAAGCAAAGTAAACACAGCAAATGTAAGACTTCTGTGTGTCATGTGCCTTCAAGTCGTTTCCAACTTATGACGACTAAGGTGAACGTATCATGAGGTTTTCTTGGCATGTTTTCTTCTTTCTATGCAACACTCTCTGTAATGGTAGCAATTCGGGAAACTGAAGGAACGTTTCATTTGAAGGTGCAGAATTTTTATTTGCTGTCATGGTTTGCATTTTGCCTACCCCCATAGTTCCACCCCTGTACAGTGGCCTACACACAAGGGTTGGTGTTGGCAGAGGTGAGACAGAAGCAAAAATGGGGTGGTGCTAGAGCATGGTGGTGGTGCCAACTGCTTTTTCTCTGCCACTCCCTGATCTCCAACTCTTTCTTCCACCATCTCTCTTTCCTCCTTTCTATTTCTCCTCTTCTCTGATGATTCTCTTTCTCTCCTTCTCCTCCCTCTCTCTTCTCCTTACTCAGGAAGATCTGCTGGGTTGAGAGTAGCATGTAGAAAGTGAAGGTTAGTCCTTTAACCAAGGTGCTCTCCTCCTGACACCTCACCTCTTCTCATGGAGTAATTAGAAAAGACATTTAGAAACAGCAAGCCTGGGAAATAAAGAGTAGTTGATTACTGCACAGTAAATTAATGTGATGTTACCAGGGGACAAGCTTTTGTTTACAGCAGAGGGATCACTTCCACAGTCCATTCTTCTACATCCTTAAACTCACTGTAGTCTAGGTGTTTCTCAGCTGAAGGAATGAGCCAGCGCTTAAGGTGAGGGAAAGAAGGTGAGGGGAGAACCTCTCATTATATCAAGACCTCTTGCTTGCCTTTGCTCTTCTCACTCAGTGCATACAAGACCCTTCTAAGGACGTTATCACACAGGGCTCAATCCAAACAAAATCCAAATGAAATCCCGACCGAAACCGGATTATTTGCCCGTGTTTTCACACGACGTCGCACAGAACCCCGACAGAAAGTGGACAGAAAGTGGAAAGAACCGAGATCTTTTGAATTTCAGTTTCTTGAGGAATTGCAATTGCGCAATGAGGATCATTTCGCATTTACCGTAAGTATGATAACCAAATACGTATTAGGGAGCATTTCCCCGTCATTACCCATGGTTCCCACGAGCATTACTCTATCTGCGCATGTGCAGGAGGCTCATTTCTTCTACATTTACAGGTTTTTTTCTCTTGTGTGTGGACGTTCAAGTCCACTCTTGTGTGTGGACATTTGCAGTTACTGTAAATGCGCAATGAAGGTAATGACGTTTGCGGAAACAAGGTTTATTTCCCGTTTATTTTTGGGATGCCTCATTTCCACTTTATTTTCAGTTTCTGGGCCACGTGTGATAACGTCCTAAGAAAATCACACCTGTCATTGCTGTTGTATAGAACAGAAGTTTGTACAAAGCTCTCCGTCCCATGAATATGCCAAGATAGGAGGCAATGTTTGTGAAACTGTCCATGGTGCTGACTGAGAAATTAATATTCTACCCAGCGACAGCTTCTAAGGATCCATCACACTCTTTACCAGATGTAGCATAGAATAGACCATTCAGGATCACCGTAGGGGTCAGCATTGCTGAAACCAAGTTAGCCATCTCTAATTCAATATTCTTGATTTGCAGGGCAAGAGGGCAATTCAATACAGGGTTTTTCAAGAGCTGCTGGAATTAGAACTTGGATCCTTTTAGTACGTGTGTGTGTGTAGCTGTCCCATATAGTGTACTACTGAACTTTATTGTGCAGTACCAGACCTTGGAAAAGTTGATTTTTGGGACTACAACTCTCAGAATTCCTTTGCCAGTATTCCCAGTAACCTAGGCAGTTTTACGTCCTCAGGCTCTCAACTGATTTTCAATCCAGGTTGGTCACTGGATTCTCTTGGACAAGAAGGGCTAGAAAAATATTTCTTTTCCAGCTATATTCAAGCAGCAAAGTTGTCCTGAGGTCTGGTGTGTTTCCATATCTTTTGGTCCTGGCCCCTGATTTGCTCCATAATCCTGACTTCTTTTTTGATGTTCAGTTCTGGATTGTTCCTCAGTCCTGCTTCCTTGTCTGTCCTCTGGTCCTGATTGACTCTTTAGTCTTGACCATTGGCTCCTTGCCATGGTTTTTGGGACAATTGTCCATAACCCAGCCTTGAAAACATGTCTTAATTTGCTTATATCAATATGGAGCTTTATGCAGTACTGCAAACTTCCCCAATCTTGTGTCCTCCAGGCATGATGGATTAGAATTTACCATTATTCCAATCCTGCAAGCAACTCTGTCTCTGAGATACATATACCCATGCACCCAAGAAGGTATATGGGGAATTAAGCACATATGTCATATTCCTAAATCCTAATTTACATAATTTGGTTTTCTTTGTGCTGGGTTTTCAAACCTTTCAGGTAACAGGGGCTTTCTCAAACTGCTACCCTCCAGTTTGGGTGGGCTACAGTTCCCATCCTTTTCCTGCTTTCCAATGTACTGGGTGCTGGGAATAGTGGAATTTGTAGTCCAACACATCTTAAAGATGTCAGGTTGTGGGAGATTCCTCTAGAAGCCGCTTACAGCAACATTCCAGCTTCTGATACATTGGGACAGTTAGGGTTGCACATTCCTTGCATGTCTGTCATGGAAGTCACTGGCTACCCCCGCTTGATCTGTAGAACCCCCCTTTCCATAGCTGACTCCTGATCTGCTAAGATGCTACTGAAGAGCTGTCATCTCTGAAACTGTATTGTCTTCACCATCCATCACAGCACTCACTTTGCTGTACCAAACATCCTCTCCTTAATGAACGCCATGTCTCGTCTGATTGCAAATGCTTAATGCATGGCAGATCAGCACACAGTTTTAACCTTTTGGAAGGAGCTCCAGTGCTGTTCTCTGCAAGACAGATCAGTCACTACCATGCAAGACAAGACAAGAGGAAAAGGGTAGCTGGTCTGATGCTGTGGCTTGACAGGAATGATAATTGACTCAGAAGAAAATGTGACCTCTTCTCGTCACAACAAGGATGTTTTCCACTTGTCTTGTTTGTACAGTCATTGTAAACAAACACTGGGTTGTCTTCTCACTTAAATTTGAAGCATATAATGCTTGGGTATCTCCATATGTGTCTGTACATGTGGTTACACACTAAGCACTGAAGGAACCATTTTCTACCTGCCAGCATGTTGGCATTCAGGAGCTACTTCACACCTTCAAGATGCAATGTTAGAAGTCTGCTAGGTTTAGTTTTTGTTTTTTTGTCTTGAGGGTGTAAACCCAGGTCTGCCACTGAAGGAATTCAAAGGTACTCAAGTCACCCTTACTTGCTGTCTTCAGCCATTTGCAAACCACTATTACTTTATACAACAAAGAACCCCACCTGCCAATAGACAGGAGCCCTGCTGTTAATGCTACTGGTAGTCTTTAGACCAGGGGTCAGCAACCTTTTTTTGCTGGGGGCTGGGAG